AGTATCTGAAGGAGGCCTATAGGTATGCTGGGGAGGGACTCTTCATTAGAGACTGTAGTGACAGGACAAGGGGTAATGGGCTAAAACTTAAACAGGGAAAGTTTAGATTGGATATAAGGAAGAAGTTCTTTACTGTAAGGGTGGTGAGGCACTGGAATGGGTTGCCCAGGGAAGTTGTGAATGCTCCATCCCTGGCGGTGTTCAAGGCCAGGCTGGACAGGGCTTTGAACAATCTAATCTAGTGTGAGGCACCTCTACTCACGGCAGGGGTGTGGAACTAGATGGTCTTAAGGTCCTTTCCAATCAAAACCACTGTGTGGTTCTATGATTCTATCTCCAATGCTGGCAGAGACATGATGCAGCATAGTAAATACATGTGAAGTATCTCAATGCTGCAGGCAGGAGGACAGTGCTGCAGTGCTGCCTGCACAGGCCCACTGCAGCTGCAGGAACTGTCACACTGATGTGCTCACCCAGCTAATATTATCGGCGTTCATCCAAATACATCATAGCGCAGCTGCGATGGGATGTGAGTGAATGACTGTGCTTATCATGGGCTGGACCTCCAGGGAGAACAGTATGGGATGAATGGACATCTGTAATGAAAAGAACAAGGTCAGGGTGGGAAAGATGTCAGAAAGAACAAGGGTTAGACAAAACCCGTGGTGGTTTGCAGGTTTTGAGGCAGGAAGCAGGAACTGCGGAAGGGCGCACAGCCAGGCTCCCTCATCTCCACCACGCAACTCCAAGGCTTGCAGAGCCACCTACTGACTAAACGATGGAGGACAAGGAATTGTTACCCCCTAATGTGCAGGTTTTTCCAATTTGGTCCAAGCGATTGAGAGGTTACGTGAAGAACGCCCGTGTGCGGTGTGGCCGGTATAGCCTGGCTCCTGCACACAACACAGGAATGTTTTGCCCAGTGCGGTGCAAGGGGGAAGGAAGAGTGTTGCTTGCTCATTAGAATATGCAGAAAAGGTGAAATGTGAGCATGACACTCCTGACACAAAAGCTGTCCCTGTGGCACAGAGCAGACATCAGACACCTTTTCCCTGACACTGACATATCTGCAATTCCATGGACAGGGCTGTATGTAAAACACAAATGAAATATTTCAGTTCTGTATTTTTCAGTGCAAATATGAGATCCCTGATAGGAATGACCAGATGCTACGTAGTACCTAAATAATGAACATAAATTCCCTCTAAAAAAGCAACCACGTGAAATGTGGCATGCCGCATACCCCCAAAAAGAGCCTCTCTGCCCATCACATTGAAATGCGCCATCATTATGTGTGCTTACTTTGCATTTCAAGACCAACATGTAATGTTTACTCACTTAAAACTTTTTATTTGTTTGGGTTTAGTTTGTGGGTTTATGGTCCCTTATCAAGCCTGGGCTGAAACATGCCTCTGCAGCATCTTGGTTAAGCAGCTGTCACTTGAGTGCCTTACCTGCCTGACTATGATTTGTGACACATCTCTTTTGCACCACATTTCCTCTAAGGTTTTATTGTCTTATTTGGTGTTACACTGAAGACCAGTCACAAGTCAGACATGTACTGTCTAAGAACAGGCACACTGTGACAGTGCTGTTCTCAGCATGCTGCCAGTGGGAGACACCCAAAGGAACATGAAGCTGCAGGTGATGGAAGATGAGAACAGCCCATAATCCCCTTCTGGAAGGGCCTGTATGGCTAAGGAGAAGGTGGAGGTGGTAAAGAACTATTATCAGAAAAACACTGGAGCAAGTCAGACAGCAGATCATAGAATCAAAGAATTGTTTAGGTTGGAAGAGACATTTAAGTTTATCGAGTTCAACTGTTAACTCAGCACTGCCAAGTCCACCACTAAATCATGTGCCACATCTACAGATCTTTTAAATACCTCCAGGGATGGGGACTCAACCCCTTTCCTGGGAAGCCTGTGCATCAGTCTGAGCTGGGTCAGTCTTAATCTGCTCTGCATCAGCTTGGTCTGAATTGCGAATACAGACTTGTTTTCAATTTTAACTTGACCTCCTTGCCACAGAACTGATGCATGTCAGGGGCAGGAGATGACAAACACTTGGTAGGACCATCAGCTTCCCTTCATCCCTGTGGAGACCTTCCTGCATTCACAGAAAAGCAGAGAGCATTGCAAACTGGGTCACCACAGGCTGCAGTGATATTTGCTGTCAATCAGCTTGAGCCTCCTGCCTTGTCTTTGTCTCTCTGCCAGAATGCAATGGAGAACACCAAGATTACAAGAAGCAAGTGTTAGTCAGTGTGGGAAGCACAGAACATCTTTCCAAGCACCCTCCTACATATTTGTTTGCAGCCAGCCCCATTCAGCTTTCATTTTAGATGTACATGGACAGCAAGCCCTCTGTTTTCCTGGTGACATTCACTCAGTCTCCCCCAGTTAGTCTGCAGCACCTCTGTACAACCATTGGCAATATCAGATTCCTTTTGGCCCTGACCCACTGCCCCACACAAATCAGCTGATTATAGTGTGCAAACTTGACAGTTCTGCATGATGGGATGCATCAGGTTTTCCATGCCAGCCTTGAAGCAGGGAGGGGGGTGATAATGTGCAGTGCCACACACAAGTATATTGTAAGTACAGTATTGTTGAATTGTTTGTTTGGAAAAGATCTTTGAAATCATTGTGTCCAACCATTAAAACTAGGGGCCAAGGAATGTATGTGGTGCCTTTGGCCAATGCTTCAGCAGAAGCACTACGGGGTTAGGTGGCACCTAGAAAAGATGGTGTCTCCTTATCTCTGGGTATATCTTGCCTGGACAGAATGTGGGTAGATAACAATGTTGACCCAGCCAAAGTGTTTGGCACTTGGTTTCACATACTTGGATAGAGGCTGTGAGACAGGCAGCGTGCAGAGCTCAAGGGGAAATCAACTGTGGGATGCTCTACTGCTTGGTTCATCATAGCGGCAGGCCTGTGGGGAACATGGAAAGATGAATGCTTCCTGTGACTCCCTTTCCTTCATACTCAAGAGCTAGGGTGAACCTTGGTATAATAAATACAACTGTTCTGATTTTTCAACATTCTTATTCCAGGCAGCTTCTCCATCTAAAATCCCTTCTGAATGAATGCCATAACCGAGAAACCAAGGAAAAATATGGGAGATTTTTTGCCAAATGCTTCCTTCGTCGGGGGAGTCCTTGTGAGATCTGAAGTTTGACTGAATTAATGCTACAGCACCTTGGACAATGACAAGACTGGGCTGTGTGGACCAACCCTCCTGCTCAGTCTGATGAATGTGCAAAAGCGTCCAAGAGTCTTTGCAAAGGGGGCTGTGATAACACGGAAAGACATTTCGGCATAAGGCTAACTCTGCATCCAGTTTTGCTTGAGGAGTTTCCCCAGTATTTACCCAAAAGAAAGGATGCACAGAGAGATACATATTTCTAGAGAGAGCCATGCTGGAAGGCAAATTATTCATGCATTTCCTTCAGACGTGGACTTTTGTATATTAGAGAAATTTTAATAGAAATTTCCCACTGAAAACATCAGGTTCTGAAAAACCTTGTGGTTAATTAAGGGTTGTGCATGTCAGCATTAATTATATGATGGTTAAAAGGCTTCATTTCACAAGTAATGTTCTTCAAGCAATTTAATCTGTGGTATGAGTTTATTAAATCATTCTGAATAGGAAAATCATTTTGATTCTAAAAAACAAACAAAAAAAATTTCAGGGTATTTTGAGAGTCACTTTCTTCCAGTTTTGCTTGACTGAATTATAGCAATATATATATTTATATGAACTTGTAAAATTGAATTTCTATAAGTGCATTTGTACACGCAAGCATTTACACTAAAATCATGCATGATGCAAACATTACCATTCGCTGTTAGCACAGCCCAAATCCTTCTGCACCACTGGCGTATGTAGATTGTATGAATAACAGATGGTTTTTTTATATTGTCTAATACCTAAACCAAGAATTTTACTAGTGTTTTTTATCCCTTATGACAGAAATGTCCAATATATGGCTGGAGAACAAGCCGTGCAATTTCAATTGAAAAATGAGTCTTGTGAAATTCCACTTTGGCATTTGGTGAGGAAAAACAAGGCCAAGGTTTGATACAATCTATTTATTGAAATTATTTTCTCCCTTTCTGCCCTGATGCAATAAACTCATGATTTCGACTGTGCTGCTGAAATGAATCAGAATTCAACCTGACAACATCTCCTGAAGCAATCCGGGGGACTGCAGTGAGCGTAGTTCAAAACTGGTTTAATCCGAACACTGACTAATTTTTTTTCCTTAAGGACACACAGAGTCGATTCATCCTTTTAGTTCTGCCCTTTCCAGCACATCATTCATTAGTCATGTAATTCCCCATGAACTTTGCTCCAGTAGAGGTTTTCCAGGAATGTAGTAGGCTTTAGCTTTTCACGCCTCCAGACTTTACCTTTCCGAATCTGCCTAAATTAGATCAGCTTTATTCTTCCCCTCTAGCAACCTTCCCATACAGGCTATTTCTTTTGTTGGCTGACAATTCAGTTTACTCTGAAAGAAACATGCTCATTCATGGACTTTCCCTGAAGTAATAAGCAACTTATAAGAACACTGATGTAATTATTTCAGAGTAAGCTTGCATGAAGCCAAACCACAAGATTTGCTGAAAAGACTGTACCTTGTGCTTCATGGACATACTATACAGACGGGGGAATGTAGAAAAAGAGAGCACACCTACTGTGTATAACTTAGAAAATACCTATTTTATAGAGATCATGATTGATGATCACTGAATTAGGAATCTAAAGGCTATTTAGATTAGAGCTGCTGCCAAGGGACTCAGCATTTGTCAGCTGAAGCTCAACAATCCTGTGAACTCCAGCTGTTGCAAACCCTGTATGCGTATCATGCAGGTATATGGATTCTGCCAGAAAGGAGGAACAGTTCCATACAGCATCTGCAGTGTGTGTGTGCTAAAGTACCTGTACACGTAAGACTAATTCTAGCATGACTGAACAGTCCTTTTCCCCCACAGATACAACTGCTTATGCCATCAGCTAGCCATGATACAGAAAGAGCCACATTGAGAGCATCTCACCCTCTACTCTAAGACTGGACTGTGTCCTACAGGAGACATTGGCTTTGTGATGCTGATCCATAGTGAGTAGCTGTAGACAGAAAACAAAGCTCAGATACTCTCATTAGCTGCCCCACAGCATGGGTGAAGAAGGAGCCAGAGAATGGAGTAGGGGCATGGGGAGCCCAAGATTTTCCTGCTCCTTCTGCATCATTTCTCCATCTCAGGAGGTCTGCAGTGTCAGCCAAAGCTGATTGTGTCGGGATGAGAAAACAGCCATTCTTCTCTGTGGTGAATTCAAGGATAGGCTGCATGTTGGTAGTGGATGGGGACTCACGTGGTAAGTTTTGTCTGCTATTAATAGCACTCAAGGCTTGGAAAGTGTTAAAATTGGAATGTTCCAGGTCATGTTTGTTCCAAAAAGCACAGGGATTTATTTCCATCAAATGATGGACATCTGGCAGTTAAAGAGTTAGCACGGACACCTCTAAGATGTTTCATGCTAGGTGGGAAATGATGGCTGGCTAGCAGTGAATCCTGCAATCAAAGAAGAGGAATCACTTTTCTTGGCTCAGCCCGCGCAGAGGTGCTACAGACTCAGGAGCAGCTCACACAGAGCAGTCAGACCATGTGCAGGGATCCAGCAGCTTATCACCAGTTATTTTTTAACAGGACTTTTTTTTTGGTGAAACATTAGAATAGTTACACTTTATCTTTTCCCATATTTATTTTGTAATGATGCATCCAAGAAGAAAAGGAAGTATCAGGCGGTGTTCATAAGCTCAAACAATATGCTTCTCGTAAAACTTCACAAGCAATTCATATCTGATTAAAGTTGGGCAAAACATCTTTTTCCCTAGCTTCAGACCTGCCTTTCTATTATGCTTCTCATAAAGGAAAATGTTTGTTGTGAACAATAAAAGGAAAGTTCCACTTTCCTGTGAATAGCTGTAACATCAAACTTCAGCCTTTAATATAATGGGTTCTTATTCTCTCCCTGGACTAAAGGGCAGCTTAAGTGAAACATTCCCAAGAAGAGATGGGGGGAAAAAAGTCCCCTAGAAACAATTAAAAAATTCCCAAACAGCCAAGCACTGAGCCTCTGGTTTGTGCCAAAGCTCTCTGCTTTGCTTTTCACCTGACTGTCTGCCAAGAAATGAAGAGATTATCCAAAAGCAAGACACAGGATCCTTTCCCCTGGGTCAGAGCTTTCATGGGGAAAGAAGAGACCAAGCAGATGGAAAAAAAAATCCCAGCATTTCTTTTGTGAAAAGTAAGGGGAGAAAAGTGTGTAATAAGGATGAGAAAATGTGAGCAAGGTGGATGACACACTGAGTGGAAAGGAAGACGCAGACATTTTTACCATCAGGTAAAGATTAATTAAATCGTGTTCTGAATGGGGACACTGACAGCGACTCCCTCTGCGGCTTTTCAGCTCACTGTATCACTTTGTCTGCAAGACAGGAAGAAATAAATCTACCTGCATAGCTGAACTGTGAGGGATCAGTTAATGATTGAAGGGGTTTTAAAGATGGGAAGTGTACAGTATTAAAGTTGGTTATGAGTAAATACCAGGTGGCTCAAACTTTGCCCTCAGCTCACAGAGGCAGCCAGGCATCTGGGCTTTTCATGTTTTTGCTCACTAGTAAAAATACATTAGAACAGGCTCACATTGTGTTTTGATTAATGATTAGAGAAATGTTACAAAAATTACTGTTAAATCTCTCAATTCTGTTTAAATAAAAACATTTTAACCAGTAGAAATTAAAAAAAAAATCCAAACCCAGGGAAAAACAGTACTAAAGAAACACTTCAGAATTCAGAACTGTCAAATATTGCTTCCTGGTTAGTGTGGGAAACAGACAAACATTCAGAAAATACTTGGGTTTGGGTTTATTCGACCCTAGCCACAGCAGCTGTTTAATCATACTGTTAAGTTTCAGGTATTCAAAAAGACTGAAAAGATGGTTTTAAATGGTCAAAATGTTCCTCATTTGCATGTTTATTAATAATCTTTGAGCAAAGTACTAGTTTCACCTTGAGTCTTTTATTTTCTTTCAACAACTAAGCACAACAGTAGATGCAATATTCCTTCTCCTTTTATTGCACTTAGCTGCCATCTCCCTGCTGACTTTGTACACATTGAAAATAGTTGGTGATTTCACTGTGTGAGAGAGAAATGCTCACACAATTTTACTGAGGCTCAGGATAACACCTTCATCTTCCTGGCTGTAAGGAGGAGTTTCATCAGGAGCTCGAGGGAAACGGGCATAGTTGCCCCCTTGAATATAGAAGTGACATGATTGTAAAAAGTCTGTGGTATTTTGCTTAAGCGGTATTTGCTTACTATTACCCAACAGACAAAAGCTAAGTTACTGTATTTAAGTCCTGTATCAAATGGATTTTGACATAACGTAGATACTGGTTGAATTTCTATGACCAGTGTAAACATGTGTGTGTGTGTGTGTGTGTGTGAAATGAAGATCAGAATAAGATGCAGCAAAGAAATTGAATGAAGAATAACATGAGGACATTATCCAAAGTCATGACATACGGAAGAGTTAGTGATGGGAAGGGAGGAATAATAATGGCTGATAGGTTTAATGCCTTTTTTCCTTCATTAGTCACTTAAGAAAAAGGAAGTTTATTTAAAATGCTGAAGTAGCTGTTGTAAGCAGGATGAGATGTGAGTGATCATCCTTGAGAAGGTGGTGAGGACAGATGAGGTTCGAGGGCACTGGAGAAGAGCAAGCATGGTGAGTATGGTAAAAAAGAAGGAAGGTCGGTACACAGGAACTGTGACCAATCAGTCTGACTGCATTTATATTAATATATCAAATATATCAAAACAGTGTTTCTAAAATGCAGGAAACATCTAATTAACAACAGACAAGGCAGACTTGTAAAGAATTGATTTGTTTAACCAGCCTATGGCATGTAAGATGTTGAAATGATCTTTCCACTCTAGATAACATTGCTAAGGCTGCAAATGGAATAAGTGTGCTTGGTTTGGTAAAAACACTTCAGAAAAGGTGTAGACAATGAATCCATTTCTAGAAACTTCTAGACAATTCGAGAAAAGAGAATGGATGGTGAAGTTTGTAACAGCCTTTATATATGCAAAAATACTTCTGAAAAGAAGAACTGGATTTTTTTTTCTGTATATTGCAAAAGGACATAAAATAATCAGCTTGAATTACTGAAAGTACACTTGCACTAATGTTTTGAAGTCCCAAGTGGCTGAACTGTTCCAGCTTGTGTTTAGCGTATTAAATTCTGTCCTCTGCCTCACTACAAGCTAGTCAAAGACCTGCTGTACAGTAACTGATTCGTTTACACTAAATGCTCTCCTTTGTTGGAAGTTGATCTGTCAAAAATCATTATGTTATACCTCAAACAGTGAGTCATTGACCTTCCTCTTCAGGAGGACAAATGAGACACAGTTCACAATAAACTACAAATAATCCCCACGGATCATGAGTTCTGATTGTTGGAAGTCCTCGCAGACAATCATTTTAAAACTTCTTTCCTATGTACAGAGGCTCCTTGTGAATAATAAAGAGAGGTACAGAACCAGGATAACCATACTACAAGGGCTCTACCATCTGTGGAATGTTCCTAAGACAGATCTGCAAAGGCAGATTTTGCTGAAAAACTGATGCTGCAGGAGCTGAATTCACAATGCCCAAATTCTTTATGTGAGGTTTCCAGATCAATGTTGGGATGGTAACCACAAGCAGGATGCTCACAACGACGGTAGGAGCTACCTGAAGGTCTCTGTTCTTAACCAAACGGTGGCTTTACAGATACACGTAAAAAGCCAGCAGGCAGTTCCCTAAAGCTCCCCAGTCTCAAATAAAGACACACACCCCTCCAGTCACAGAAAGTGTTTTGATTGCATTCACTGTGTGTTGATGGGCCCATAGGGGCCTTACCTTAGCAGGATTGGAGGAGGAATCTCTGCTGAGATGATCTAGTTAATTAGAGTACAGTGAGGTGAGAATTCAAAGCAGTTCAGGAAAAACCTGCAACTGTCTTCCTCCTGGGCAAGAGATCCGGGCAGTAGGGTTCTAACAACAGGGAGGCATTGCCTTCAGCTGTATATGGGGGAGCACACCACTAGTTTATGTTACATGGCTGGAGAGAATCTGCCCTTCCAAGGCTTGCCTGATTTCTAAATTCTAAGTAGCCCCTTGGCCAAAAATTAAGTCCAGAGAGGTTTAATCCAGACAAACGTTTACTGCAAAACATGTGAGCAGCCCTGGGATTTACATATACCAAGTTCTTACTGAAGATGTTAAAAGCTCAGAAGCAGGTTATGTAATTCATGTGTCCTCCTCGGTGCTAGTGAGGATCTCCATTTTTAAAACATCCCGATTTTAACTGAGCTTGCTAGGGCAAGTTAATTTTGGATTGTGCCGCTATGAACAGAAATGTGCTGTTCTGATGCAGCAGGTGTGCAGTGTAGATATGGGGCAATTTACAGCTGTGGCCTATTGCCATATCACAGTGTTATTATCCCTTGAGAGGGAAACAATGCAGATTTATGACTTGAGTTCTTTGTTTTGATTATTTTTTCCTGCCAGGTTATTTTTAGTACAAAATTGTTCCAAATTATGTCAAGAATGGGAGACGCTGAGCTAAAACTGTGATCGGAAATGCTGCTGTTGTTAGAATGAGGGATGTTTCTGTAAACAAGAGCCAGTGATATGTTGTACTGGATAATCCTAAAGCAATCTCTGGAAAGCAATGTGCTACCTCTGCTATTTTCAGACAGTTCCCAAATCAACCTGCCCTGGCATGAAGAAGCAGCTTCACTGACTGTCAGTTTTAGCAGTTGTAGGATCAGGTACTTTGAAGTGAAACAGCCACTTGAAGAAAAACCACATCTCTGTGTGAAGACATGAGCTAACTGACACATCCATTTCCCTCCTCTTCCACTGCTTTTGAAGAATAGGCAATATTCAGGCCATTAAATCACTTGCAGGCTTGTGTTCGCTGTTCAAGACATTTTACATCTCCCTGGGCTATTTGCTTTCGGAGACAGAAACACGGTGTTTTTCATAAACTAATTTAACAAATTCACAACCTCTTTTGGGTGGCTTGGGAAACAGCAGCATGGATGAATGCTCTGCCTACACGGTTTTAATGTTGAGCTGTCAGAGATACAGGTACCTGACGGTTCTTGAAGCCTAATTATGGAGCACAACTTTCTCTGTTGCCATTTGCCTGCTCCAAAGAGAAAAGTGTGTTTCCTGCCCTGTAGTGAAAGAGGACTGTAGTAATAGCTTACAAATATTTTATCTCTGGAAGCAATTATTAGTTTGTTTGAAGAGCTGA